CCCCGACCTCCCCCAAAAAAAGGATACGGCAGAAGAACTCCACACTGGACGGACAGAATCACCCAGGAAGGCTGGAAAAAACAAAAACAAGAACTCAAATCAGAAGATGTTTCAATTTATCATGAAAATGACATTGTTTTACTAGTTAGTGTTACTCCTAGAAACCAAAGGCTCTACAGGAAGCACCCAGATATTGTATCCAAGGACTTGTTACCAACACCCAAGGTGAAAGCGCAGTCAGAATATAACACGTCCAGCTCTTCAGCAATTTAAACCCTAGGGCTACACACATACTACGCTCTGCCTCTGGGCTGGCTGGAAACGGACTCCCCAACTGGACGGACGGGACCTGACGGCCACCCCCACCGCTCCCACCCCAGGTGTGTCAGCCCCTCCAAGGTGCCCTTCTTGGTCTTGAACTGAGTCAGGTTTAAACTTGTGAGTCTTTTCAGGAAAGTCATACAGACACAATGGTAGTAAACCATAAAAGGTAATCTTTTTAAGAATTCTAAAACTCAGATTAATTATAAAAACTAAGGTTAATTACTACCTTTTGGGGTAATTTGTATTTTTTTAAAATTACCATACTTTATATTTCTGTATTTAATTTTGAAAATTACATTAATCATTATACTGATAGTTCTGCTTCACAAAATGATGATATAAAAATACAGTAATGCCCCACTGAGCCAGCTGACTTCCAGAACCATCTGCCAGTCGAAACATGGATACACTCATGCACCAATTCATACATCAAGTAGTTACTGAGCGGCTGTTCCGTGCCAGAGACAGAGCAAGGCCTGGAATACAGTCTTCGCTCTGATGCAGCCTGTTTTCCAAGCTAGTGATCGCCCAACTATTCTTGTCACATACACCTTAAAAGAACTTTATAAAATGAAGTTTTGGGGGTGATATCACCAATTTCTTAGCATAAGTTTCTGTAAGTCTATCTTCTGCTGACTGGACTCTAGATGGCATAATCATTTCATGATTTGATCGTTTTACCTAATCTTTGAAGTAACTTATTGGATAAAGGACGCTCAGCTGAAAGAAAATACTTTCCCCAATGTGCCTCCACATTCTGACCCCAGTTAAGTCTAAGGGCCTGGTCAGCATGAGGAACCTGACTGGCCACACTGCCCTGACTCAGCTGCGTTCAGAACACCACATGTGGTCAAAGTTTATTCTCACAGCCCCACCCAGAGCCCCTGAGCTCCTGGGCCACAAGGCTGAGGGGGGGGGGGGGGCCAGCCTTCCTGAAACAGGTATTTCTAGCCATCCCTCCCAGGATTTTCAGAGCCTGGGACCACGCGATGTAATAGGATTTGCATGGGTGATGGTACGACTTTTCTGGGGGGAGTCGGGGAGAGGTGACTGTGACCAGGAGTGACATTAGGCTGCTGGAGGAAGGGTCCGAGGAAGGGTCCGTAAGGAAGCTGGCCCTCTGCAGAGGTACCCCTTACAGCCATCCATGCAGCACACACCCTGGAAAACGTCCCTCTGCGGCACTGGGGAGGGGTCAGCTCGGGACTCCCAGGTAAAGGCTGCTGAGCTAGTTATCACAGAGGCCCACAGAGCAGTCACCCCAGGCCCTCGCTCAGGTAAGTCCAGATAACAGTGAAGCAGCAGCAGGAATCACTCATAATAGAAAAACACAGTAACAAGGAGCTCTTTATCCCAAGGGCAAATAACAATATATAAAAATAAACCCACTGCGAGTCAGCATCATTAACATTTCCAATGATGCCCCAAGGCCACTGAAGAAAATGTGTCCATTAAAAAAATTATTTTAAAAGTTTCAGGGCCTAAAGAAGCAAGTTTTAAACATCTATAAAACTCAAATACGTAAAAGACAGATGAACTGTCAGCGTGCACAACGCCTTATTTTTAAAATGCATTTGTCAAATTTAACGTTAAGGGAGAGGCCCAGGGATGGGCTTCGGGGACCAGGCCTCCATCAGCTGAACGCAGGCTCCACCATCAGAGCACCCCAGTCAGGAAGGTCTGTGAGGTTCAGACAAAGGACCTTAGGGTCTCCTAGCACCACGCTGCGTGAGGACAAACTACTGGACCAGCTCTGAGAAATCCCATCAAGCTGCAACACGGTCATCCTGGGCAACAGATGCCATCACAAACGAAAAGCAGGCTGGAATGCAGAGATGAAATCATACAATAGTACACCGGGGTTCCTTTTCAAGTTCTACAGCCAAGGGGGTGGGGAGTAGGATGGGGTACGTTAAGGTGGACTGGCCACATGGTGAGAACTCCACAACATAGGTGCAGCCTTAATACTGCCGGACTTTTCTGGAAATACAACTTTTGTGTACAATGAAGACTGCTTGGCTTGGCTCAGAATTTGCGCCAAGCTTCTGAAAGCTTCAGTGCACTGCTTTCAGGAGGCACGGTGAAATGTACAAAATTAGTGAGATTCGCGACCGACCTTGACGACAGGTAAATCAAAGACCTCTCGAGCCTCTCCGACCTCCGGGTTGTCCCCGTCTTCTGAAATGATGTGCGAGGCCAGGGCATTGTAGGACACTTCCTTAGCTTTCCCAGCTTTCAGAAGCTGAATAACCTTTAAACAAAACAACACACATTAAAATGGAAAACACTGCATTTCATTCTTGGCTTATACAAATTATTGCGAACAACGAAAATTCTAATTAAAAACACACCATGTTCTCACATTGGGTTAATAATAACCTTAAACTGAGTCACATACAATGAAATATATTTGGGAATAAAAATCAGCCAATCTTGGTTCATCAACCACATATGCATGGAGGCCACGTGACCAGCTCCCGGGCAGTGTCTCTGTCCTGAAGACAGGAGGACAGACAGACCACCAGAACAAAGCACTGCAGTGCTGAGATGGGGCTCAGAGGCTTGGGGGTGGGAAGCTCAAGGCACAAGAGGCAGCGGGCCCTTGAATGGGCACCGCAGGAACTTCAGTCGTTGGCACCCAGTCACCTAGGGTGAAGCGGTTCACCTTGCGCGCGCAGCTCGGAGACCCTCTGAGGGTGTGCTGCACATGAGCAGAGTCCTCCCGCACGTAAAGGAGTTAGCTGGGCAGAAACATATGCACGCTGGGGGGGGGGGGGTGGCAGCACCCACGCACTGGGCAGGTTAACACGGATCGAGCCCCGGATGCTCTTCCTTCTGTGCTATGCAGAAACACCTGCACTTTATTCTGAAATAAAACACGGAAGTGTCTCTGGAGAGACATGGGGGGTTTCTAAGCAGGTAAGTGGCATGAGCAGATTTTCTAGGAAGATTACTGTCCGTGTAAGAATAGATTGTGTTGGCTGCATGTCTGCAGCCAGAAAACCTGTGAAGAAACAGCTGCAACTTCCCAGGTGAAGGGGCAGTCCACTGAAGGAATGTCACTAGGGACAGAAGGGAGATGTGAGAGAATTAGCAAGACGTGGTGACTGCAAGCAAAGAATGAAGTGCGGAGGTGGGGGGGACCCAGGACCATTCACTAAGGACACAGCACTGGAGTGGGGGCAGGGTTCGTTTAGGGCATGTCCTTCTTTGGGCGCCACATGGAAGACCTGGGTCCCCCTGATGGGGGGGGGTCAGCAGCATGTTAGAGATGGCAGCCGGCGGTCACTCCCAGGGTGCAGAGGGGACATGAACTATAGTAGCGGCCTGAAGAGCAGGTGGGGTAAGTGCAGTGCCCAGGGGGGCAGTGTGCCCAGCACGGACGAGGGTGCTAATCTAAATTTACCCACAAACGGGACAACCTCTTCAGAATGTCTTACGGACCATCAGCAGCTATGAGCTGGGATAGGTAAATGAAACCTGTTCCATTAGCCATAAACCACCTCAGTTCCTTTCTTCCCGCGACCTCCAGGCAGCTTTGGCGCCACACATCCAATCTGTCAAGGGCACGCCTCCTTCATCCTCCGTCCCAGCTGTGTTTCTGATCCCACTGGCTTCTCCACGAGCCTTGAGATGGCAATCTCTCCCGTCTGCCCCGAACTACGAAGTCCCCCTATTCTGGTACACATGCCCACAGGCAACCGCGCACCGTGCCCCGGCCCTTCTCTCCTCAGGCCTTCTCTGCTTCTTTAATGACCAGCTAATAAACCAGTCCAGCCTTGCTGTCCGCTTCCTCACCTCCGATTTGCTCGTCCGCTCACTGCCTCCCAGCCGCTTCTGGCAGCACTCCCCTGAGGACACGTACAGCCTGCACGCACTCAGAGGACACCCAGCCGCTAGCTCCTGTTCAATCCCCACCTTAGTGGGTTTCTCTGTCACTCTGCCCCCGACAGCAGTGACCACCCTGACACGTCCCAAATACATCAACGCCTTCTTTCCTTAGCATGTGCCTCCCGCCTGAAGGACGCCATCCTTCACCCTCGCCTTACCTTCTGCTTCTCTCAAGACCCCAAAGAAATGACACCTACTCTGAAACATTTCAGGGGTGCCATCTCCCAGGTCCCCCAGCACCCACCACCCTATATTATATAATGCCTCCGGGTAAGTCACCCGCTCCCCACCGGCAGCACCAAGGACACCCGTCTTTGTATCACGTCCAGGGCCTAAACCAAAGCGGGACACATACTAGTAATAGTCAACATGTGTCAACTTTCTGAGTTCTTATTTATAAGATTCAGAGAACCTGATGTTCCGGCTCTCAACTTCTTAGAAAATGTAACGTTTCAGTTCCAAGGCGTTCGTGAAGGACATCTTTAAGCACTCAGCCTTGATTCACAGTTGAGCAAATATGGCTCCAGGGCAGCCTGTTCCAGGCTTTAAGTGGCATTCGGCTGACGCCCCCGGTTACAGCCAAGTCCTAACATGAACCGGGGGGCAGGGAGGAGGGGGTTGGAGAATGGGGGGACGAGAGGGGCCTTACCCACGCTGCGAAACGCTCACACTGTTGCAGGCCCTCATGGTGAGCACTCCAGGTTCAGCACCTGTTTACCTGCAGAGCTGCTGTAAAGGCGGCTTCCCCCTAAGCTACAGCGGAAGGAGGACCACCTGGGCTAAGGAGTCTCGTTACTGTGGCACCAGCGTGTCTCCAGGAAGCCAAGCCCGCGGGCTCTGCCGGCTTTGCCGCCGACCGTGTTCACCTGTCAGGCCTCGTCTGCACTCTTCTCAGGCTCCCCACGCACCTTCCTCCAGGTTCGGCACTCACTGCTCACGAGGCACCCGGGCGACATAACCGCACAGGTCAAGGCTTTCAGAAAGGGAATACTGCGCAGATTCACCTGAAGAGGATGCTTAACTAGGACTCATTCCCACCGCGTTAGGAGAACACTCTGACGTTTAAACACATGCAGCCCCGAAAAACGGCTTAGGGAAGGCCACATCTTTTCGCAGGAGCCCACACTACAAGCAACTCAATGTCTAGCGTGACGGTGCTCCCTGAGCGTTTCCCACACACACTGTGTAAAATTCGCCCAATTAGGAAAATCGGGGGAATTCGAATCGCCGGTGAACTGAGCCCTCCTCAGGCGCGCATGCAAGATGACAGAGCTGTGTGGCTGCCACGCCAGGGGCCCCGGCTACCTGTCCCCTCCACGCGAGCTGCACGGGCCGAGGTGCCCCTCTCGGACCCACTGTTCCGGGGGCCCAGGCACCGAAGCAAGCGGCCGGCTGGGAGCTACGTCCCTGTCGGGATCCCGCCCCAAAAAGCGGCCGAAAGTGCGAGTCCAACGGAGGCCGCGGGCACGGGGGGCGTGGGGGCTTACGGCCATGCGACAGGACGCCAGCTCCCCCCGGCGGAGGACGGTGACAAGCAGCGCGAGGCCCAAGCTAGGGCTCGCGGAGGGCGCCGTGCACGAGGGGCCAGGGCAGAGACCCCCCAGCCACGTGCCCTCCCGTCCTCTCCGGCCTGAGCACACACGAGGGTCCCGCAGACCCCCCTCCGCAGGTCGCCTCCCTCCACTCCGGCGGGTCCCGCAGACCCCTTCCCTCCTCTCCCGAGGATCCCACGGACCCCCTCGCGAGGTTCCCTCTCCCCTCCCGAAGGTCCCGCGGGACCCTCCCCCGGCAGGTCCGCTCCCTCTCCTCCGGCCCCCAGCCGCGGGCCTGCTCGGCGCGAGGCGGCCCGGCTTCAGCGCAGCCAGGCCGGCGGGCCCGGCGGGGACCCGGCCGTGGGGCCCCGACGCCCGCGCCCGTGCGCGCGCCCGTGACGCGAGTGGGGACGGGCCCGGGACGCGGCGGCAGAGGCGGTACTGTACCTGCGGGTCGATGTCGCCTACCGCGTAGTACTTGACCTCCCTGAACATCTCTTCGGGAACTTTGGGCGCCTGGTCCGACATGGTCGCAGCGGCCGGAAGGCTCCGCGGCGGCCCCCGCCCCGGCCCGCGGGGCCCGGTCCCCAACGGCGCAGCCCGCGCGGCCCCGGCCCGGTGCTGCGAGTCGGGCCCGCTCCCGGCCCTCGGCGCCCCCGCCCGCGCAGAGAGGCCCAAGCGCGGGAGCCGAGCGCGCCCTGCGGGACGCACCATCCCGCGCGGCCGCCCAGGGGGAGCGCCGAGGGGCGGGCTGCCCGCCGACACCTCCCAGCGCGTCCGCCGCGGCCTGTGGCCCCAGGGGCACGAGCACCGCGAAGCCCGCTCCAGAGACAGGCGGCCTGTGGCCACCGCTCCCTCACGAGTGGGCCCCGGAGACGCGGGGAAGCGCGCCTCCCCCTTATGGGGTCAGAGTGGGCCGGTCCCGGAAAAGACCCGAACGCGAGGCCCCTCCCATCAGCACGCGCGGCCGCTCGGACGGCGCATGCGTGCGGCGAGGGGGCGGGGCGCCGGCCGGGCGGCGGCGATGGCGGCGGCCGCGGACTCCGGCCTCAGGGTCTCGGGCACAGCGGGGCTGATCGCCGCCGGCTGCTGCCCGATCGGACCCAAGGTAACACCTGAGGCCCTGCGGCCGAGGAAGGCCGCGGTCCCGATGAAGCCAGGGGCGCTGGGCCGCTTGGCGGAGGCGCCCGGGTCCCCCGACCCGGCCAGTGGGTGTCTCCCCATCACCCCGAACCCCACTCCTGCCTGGACCTGGATTCCGGTCGCGCTGCAAGTCCTCCGCCGGCCGTCCTCGCTGAACCCGCAGACTGGTGCCTGGTCCCCGCGGGGGTGAGCATTGGGCTGGGAACCGGACAAGGAATGGGGCGAGTCAGGCCCACCATTTCCTGCCCGTGGGTCCCAAGCCTTCACCCACTGTTGCTGGTACCTGCCTAGCAGAAAGCCATTTTGAAGTAAATGCTAGTAAAACTGAGGTTTTTTTAAAAAAAAAAAAAGAAGTCTTTTTCAAGGGACGGTGGCACCCTCATAGACACACGAATTCATTGCGGAGGCATATGTGGGGTTGGCGTTTGTGGCATCATTTTTAGTCTGTGGTCCTGGAGAAGCGCTGAAAGTGGAAGTGGACGGGATTGGTTCGTCCAATCGGACGTCATGGGAAGCACGCTGGCTCTTTCTAATCAGGTGAAGGCCGTTTGGATCGCCTCTGCTTTTGTGTGTGTGTGTGTGTGTAATGAGTGATTTCACGTGGGCAGAAAGTAAGCTCGTGTTAAGCCGTATTAAACACACTTCTGTTTTGTCCTAATGTTTTCTCCATTTTTGTCTGCTTGCCTTTTGCACAGTCTGACATCAGCCTTATTCGAAAGCGAACGCGTTTCTTTTCCAGACAAGAACAACATCGAGCGCTGGCCGTGACGGGTAAGAATGTACCTCCCTTCCTTTGAATGCCCAAGAGTGTATCTGGTATCGGCCGTTACAACATTTGACATTCAGCGCTAAGAAAATGCCGGTGTAATAAATTAGTTCTAAATGCCGAACCAAAACGATCATGCCCTTTTGTAAGTTAAAAAAGAACTTGTAACCGTCAGCAGAACAAGTTCACCCTGCTGGGACTCCTGGTCAGTCATAAGACAGATTATGGAGCCAAGAAATCTGCGATTTAAAATCTCACCAACCTGTGGGAAATGGTAACACATCACATATCCGTGTGGAGCTCGTGTGGGCCTCCCGGCCCAGCACCAGGAAGGCCCAGGGGCAGCAGCACACCCAGAAAACGCCATACACTGTATCAAACACTGCTGCTTTGCCAGTGATAAAAAAATAAACATCTTTAAATGAAATCGAATTTCATGTGGATAATGGACATACTGAGGAAGTCTGCAAAACCGACATCCTGACATCATGAAGAATAGTCCATTCGCCAGAAGACTTAAAGATGGCAATTCAGTTTTTAAAAAATCACCACCAAAACTCATAAAAATGATCTTCAGCACAGGTTTATTTCTATAAGACGTCTGTTCACAAAGTTATAGAAAAAAATACCACATTGAGACTGCAATATATTGTTCATGAATAAATAGATATTTCTTACTGACTTTTGTGGCACTTAGAAGAGGGCCCACTTTAGGGTAATAATAGTATCAGTTCATTAAACAGAAGTTTTGCATTTTTTTTTAACTTCAGTGCATCTACTCCCCAAATATGACAGGCTGAGCATAATTTTACACTTCTCCCAACTAAGTTCAAAGCATGATCATTTTGTTGATACTCAACCTGCAGAGAATAAACCTGTTTAATGCTAGTTTGATAAATAGGGTAATACATTTCTGATTTTCTATTTTGCAAAATTAGATAATCTAACGCTAGGAAAAAAGTGTGAAATTAGAAAAAGCAAAAATAGAATTGGGAATATTTAACTCAAATAGTACCTGCTGGTGGGAATTAGAGGCAGTTATTTAGATAAGTATTTACAAATTACTTTTAAAAACGCATCTCTACTGTATACAACAAATGTCAGTCTTCTCATATTATGTTCAGTTCAGTTAGTCACACATCCCATAGAGTAAAATATTATCAGTGTTTAGTGAACCTTAGTTTGCATTTATAGACTGCAACATTTAACCTTTTCGCGAAAAGGAATGCTTAAGTTAGAGGCACAAACAGGCCAGAGTTTTTATCACAGGAGAACCTAGGAACTTAAAGGATGTTTCTTTATGGGACCGATTCAGTCAGTTAACCAACAGGGTACAGTTGCCTCCAGTAGTCATCTAGCTGTTCAATGTAGAAAAACTAGAAAACACAAACAAAAACGGTAAATTGCTCCAAATCGTATCCCCAGAAGCAACACTATTAAAATCCTGTAATTGTCATATGTAAATATATTTTTTCATTAAAAAAAAGTTACATCACATACAATCTTCTGTTGATGCTTATAAAAATAAAACAAGAATGTCCTCCTATGTCAGTAAATAATAGATCTACATCATTTAGTGGATACATAATATTCAATTTTTAATGTACCTTAATTTAATCAATTATTGTTGCATGTTTGTTGTTGCCAGTTTAACAATTACAATGCTGCTATGAAGCAGTCATCTTAAAATAAGCATACATATATAATGCATTATACTGTTTCCATGCCTCTCCCCCATCACTGAGCACAGTGCTTGGCACACACTCAAGGCTTAGATCAGTGGGCCATTTGGTAGGATCAGGAGACAGTTTCGGTTGTTGGAACTAGAGGGGAGAGGGTACTGCTGGCATCTAGTCGTAGAGGCCAGGAAGCTGCTAAACATCCTACAATGTACAGGACAGCCCCGACAGAGATGGCCCTGTGCAAAATGTCACTACTGCTGCTGTGGAGAAAGCTGGCATAAGGTGATGTAACAAACCAACATTTAATTGGAGTAAAACAGTGAGTCTCTTGCACACAGCTCGGTGGCTTGCTCAGACAGCTCTCCTCTGAATGGGCACTCAGGGCTTGTGTCGTCATGTAGCTTTGCTGAGAGCCATTGCTTCCAGCTATACAGACTGGGAGAAAGCAAGTAGGATACCAGGCACAGGTCCTATGGCCAGGCCTAGAAAGAGCAGCATGTTTCCACATGCAGGCACTTCCATTAGCCAGAACCTAGTCTCATGACCTTAACCTCACCTGCAAGGGAGGCTGGGAAATGTAGTCTTCCTATGTGCCAAGGAAATGGGATGGATGGTATCTTGCCAATTTCTGCCATTTTTAGTTTTCAAAAAAAAGTCTTCCACAAATTAAGGTTACAGATTGCAATATAACATAAAACAAAAACTTCTTAAACATCATTTC